AAGTTCCTGAAATGCGCCTTGTTGGTTCCTGAAATGCGCTCACGGTTCCTGAATTTCCGTCCTGGTTCCTGAAACGGACTGCGTCCTTTGTCTCTGAGGACATAGGACACGCTGCTCCAGTCCATGATGAATTTCGTACTAGTTGAATATTAGTGCAGGGAATAATGTGAAGGTAGCTGCAATATCATGATGCCAAGACAACAACTCTTGTACTGGCAATGAATCATCCCCCTAAGATATCTGCGAATACTGCCAACTGTCGCACAAGCAGTTCCTCACCTATGAGTAAAGAGACTGAAGGCAATACAACCGAGAGATTATGCAGACGCCAAGCAGTTGAAGTGAAAAACAGACAGAATAGAATAAGTCTAAATGAAAGTTACCTACCGCGTGAATAAAGCCAGAATGCGCCGAAGAAGAAGCCAAACAACATGTTGAATGATGTAAGTGCTCTGAAGTATTCTCTGGTGAGTTCAACAAATCAAAAATAATGAATAACAAAGCTCAAGAAAGCAAATTCAGCCAGTACAAACAAACTCATGCAGAGTCATTTAAGGACTTCCATGACCGATGACTTGGGAACTCAGCAATATCCGATGTTCCACTGCTTGCAAGTTGCGCGCTGCCGTTGTACCGCACGAGCCAGATCACCCTGGCAGGATGGAGCAATTCTCAGTGGCCACTCAAGTTGGACTGGCCTCTGGACAAAACATCAGGGCACGAGATCCGACTTAGATAGTCCGGTCAAAATAAATCACTCCAAGTTCATGTGAGAGCTCCAAATACCCCCACACACCAACATTATCCCGGTCTAGCACTGTGTTGGCACACAGGACTGGCCCCAGCATAGAACCATGCAATCCCCCCACTACCCCATGCTCCCAATCGAAGTCCCAAGACCATCCGCCCGGCCGGTGCACAGCGCTGCGGAAGCGGCGAAGGGCCACATCCTGACGCAGGCGCAGCTCGAGGACGAGCTCCCTTAGAACAGAGGATCTGGAAATTGAAGCTTGAATGAAATGATTTCCTCTTTCATGACATGATGAACAGATGGCTATTATGATAAATGTCTGTCTAGGGACATGCCTTCTTATGCCAGCTCACCGCCTCGGCCATTCTGAGGTTGGAGCTGAAGTTCATCGTCAGGCGAGTGGGACTCGTCCCCAATGAACGCCTCACATCACAAGCGCTGACAAGATTCTCTACAGAGTCCGACTCTTCGGTGCGCTTCGACAAGGCCAGGCACTCGAAACTGTTCTCGGGAAACCCCTTCGCTCGATTGCCAGCCGTAGTCCTCACAGAGCTCGTCATACAGATCTGGCCACGATTCGTCACCTGCCACAGGCTGCGTTTGTCGGCTTGCCTCATAGGCTACCTGCCAGCGCCTCCATCGTATCCTGTCAGCTCCGCATAGCGCCTCTGCACTTGCGCACTTGCACACGTTTTGCAGATTGAAAGAAGAGAAAGGCCGAGCGGACAACCCAGCCTGAACTCTCGCGAGCCCAGCAGAGCTTGCTGCCGCACATCAAGAGAGGTGAAAGCCTCGTTCACCAGGTCACCTCCTTGGGTGAGACATCACATAGTTGCCTTGTTCCTGCACGACTACTCCGCAATTGCCTTGTTCCTGCACGACTACTCCGCAATTACTTCCTGTTCTGGGAGTCGGTGTAATGCCGAAAACAAGAAAAAAACTCAGTACCCCAATGCAGGAGCAGTATCGTGACATCTCCGAAATCTCTTCACGTACACGACTTGCCCCACTCTTCTTTGCCAGGTGGGACATCTGGTCAATTGTCCTAGCAGCAGAATGTTGCAACTATGCCTTCCTTGCAAGATTGCTTTTACAGTCATCCTTCCGCGCTTCTTCTTTGGCATCCGCAGCTCCATCAACATTGCCTTCAGCTCTTCGTCTGACCCCATGGTATCCTGGACTGCAAGCAAATTCCTGCTCCTTCACGGGAGCAAGATTGTCCTAGCTAGACCACATCCAATGAAGCATTCTCCCAAGTCTCATCTTCCAACAAGCCCGCAAAATCAGAATGCGCCAGACCGACGTCCTCAAATGCTCTGTAAAGGAGATGTTGGTGCAAAGCAATGTTGCCGCAAGAAATGCAAGTCCAGGCCTTGTCCCACCCCTGTTCTTCGCAAAGCTCATTGTACTC